ATATTGTCTTATAAAATACATTGGCGATCAGTCAGGTTGAAAAAACTGATGTTAATTATGTATTTATATTGAAAAAATAGCATACAAATAATTGTTTAAAAAACTTCTAAGATGCACGTATGTCAAATTATCAATAAATATAAGAAATAGGTACGAGATATGATCAAAAAATACCAGGATTTTTTTTTTTATTTAAATATACAAATAATATTTCAATATTAATCTCCTTCAAAGTATTCACCACCAGATGTTATACACTTGTCTCATCTCTCCTGCCACTTTTTGAAGCAGTGTTAGAAGTCTTCGAACTTTCAGTTGGTTGAGTTGATCCGTCGCATTCTTTTTTATTGGTTCAATATCATCAAACCTTTGTCTTTTGAGGTAAGTTTTAATTTTTGGAATTAAAAAAAAAATCACAAGTRGTGAAAGAAACAAGTCTTGTGATTAAGGGAGTTGAGGTGCAATAGGAAATTGATTATCAGCTAAAAACTCACGGAATGATAAGACTTAATAAGCTAGCACGTTGTCGTGGAGTAAGAACCATGATCGATTTTGGAACTGATCTGGATGTTTTCTACGGATTTTTTCTTATAATTTAATTATAACTTCTTTGAAGTAAGTCCGATTAACCATTTGACCAATTCCAAGAAATTCGTAATATTATATTAACTTGCTGAATTACCCATCGTCACCGGGTTATTAGTTGTTGGTATCTGGTAAGATTAAATTAAAATAAGATTTTTTTTTTAAAAGATGTCATATTATAATAATTGTTTATTAATCTGATTTTTATCGGTAATATAATATTTTCTCTATAAACTACATTAGCTGTAGTTCCTGTTGGTGCCAAAATAACTTAACTCGTGAGCATACTGACTCTGGAGCATGTCACATACAATTAAACCATGTGAAAAACAATCTWCTCTTATATCGATCTCTGAAAACTTCAAGGCTTGCCCTTGTGATTTATTTATTGAYTTGGCAAAACATACTTTTACAGGAAACTGCATTCTTTTGAATTGGAAAGGAAAATCTGATGGTATAATTGGTATGTGAGGAAGAAGAACTGATTCACCTTTTGCAGATCCAGTTATAATAATAGCTTCCATCAAATCTTTTGTAAACCAATAATCTTTAGACGTGTCCCATTGCGCAATTTTGATGGACTAAAATTTCTTAGAAGCATTATAGGACAACCAATTTTGAATATTTCTATCTGCGTTAATCACCACCTTAAAATTAGTAGAATGTTGACTTGCATTCTCTACTGTGGTTTTAAATTCTYAAATACACTTATTTTCAGTATACAACATGTTCTGTAGCTGTTTGACTAATGCTCGTTTAACTTTTGYATAAAGAGAGCATCTAAGTTGAACTTCTTTTTCATCTTCGCCAACAAAATATATTTGTAAAAATGTTGGATTTTCCTGAGTATTTTGAACCAAACTGCCATAAAAATGGTATACTTSGCCTTGAACCTTAAAAAAATGGTTTTCTCGTCTTTTTTTTATCTTCCTTGACTTGGTTATCTTGAGGTCTATCTGTACATCTAGCACGGCAACGCTTCTTACTTTTATTAATTAAATTGTCTGTAACACTAACATTATAACAAATAGACAAATCGCTCTCTGAAGAAAAAAATTAAGAATTTTAAAATTAGATAAATAAACATCGAAATGCCCACTATTAATATTTC